AGAGTGTGTGGCTAAAGGCTAGGCAAGAAGTTCTCTGAGCTAGGCTGCTGGTCTAGCCCTGATTTCTTTCAGTGAGATTGAGCAGTGCTACAAAGTCTTAACAAATGAGCATCTTGACGCTAATCACTCCTGGATGCTGCACACGTGGTCTTCTATAAGCTAGGTCCATCTGTTTTACATATGAGGAAACTGAGGCTTGGAAGTTAGGTACCTTGATAAAGGCCACCTAGCAAGTGGAGGAGCCAGGATGGAAATAGGATCTTTCTGATGTTCCAGCCCATGTAGCCCTTGCTGTTTGTGCTGTGTCCTGCCACCTCTATGTTGATGGAGCAGAAAATGTGCCACAACTTCCTTCTGAGATGAGGAAAAACTGCGGGGCATGTGCTCCCCAGAGAAATGGGTCAACTGGAACACGTGTCCTTTCATTAGGCTGTCACTTTTCATTGCATTGGTAGTGTTTATACAATCCTATAAATTGTATCTTGGAAGTGATGGAATAACTGTCTTAAGAATGTAAATTGGAAAAGCATAATAGTGAAATGCAAAGAAACAAAAAGCTGTTTCTTGGCCTTCTCAAACCAAATGAAGGAATAAAAGTGGCAGCATCAAAGATTGCTTCATTTCCAGGTCCTTTGGCTTCCGCTTTGCCTCAGCAGTGCTGGGCTTGTGTATAGTTCAGAACCTGGGTGTTTCAGATTCAAGCCTTGAAAAATCCCAGGTAGAGGGAGGAAGGAAGCAGAAAGTGGTATGTTCCTCTTAAGATTTATTTCTTCTTTGTGTGATGTTTGCTCTTAGTCATTAGTAACTATGACTCTTTTTGGAAAGCAAAGTTTAGTTAGGATAGATAGCTGTATTTGTTGTTGAAAACAAAGCAATGAATTTGTTAGACTAAAGAATTTCATGTCAATTGCTAGGATCTTTGAATTTGAAAGTTTCTCTAGTCTAACATCTTGATCACCACAGGTATGACTTCTACATTGGGGATCCTCAAACTGAGAGTCATGACCCATTAGCAAGTCATGAAATTACTTTAGTGGGCGATGACCAGCATTTTTAAAAAGTGAAATAGAAAAGATTACAGTACTATCAAGATATAAGGATGAATAGTTTTGCTGTAAGGTTTTGATTGATTGTGTACACACCTGTAGTGGGGCGCTGTAAAAACAAAAGGGCTTGTAAATCAGTTACCTCAACTTCAGCTTCAGCAGCTCCTAGATACAGAACTCCCTGCCTTCAGGGGCAGCCTTTATCTTGACAGACTAGAACTAGTAAAGTGTTCTTATGATAAATGTCTCTTCTGCTTTAGTGTTTTGTGCAGTGAGCACTGGGGAGGGAACTAAGGACCTTATGCATGCTAGGCAAGTGCTCTACCACTAAGCTACATCCATAGCCCTCATGGTATTTTTTTAAATATGCATAGAATGAAAATAATATTAAGATATTTGATAGTCATGGGGATTAATACTGATATTTAAAGTGAACTCATTTGTCTTATTGCTGTGGCCTGAATACCAGAATTCTCTTCCTTACCTGAGATTATATGTAGGTACCTTTACAGTCTTGATTGCTCTTCTTAGATGTTCCATTATGAGCATTTAATTCAAGAAAATAAAAGTAGTGAAGGAAAAATTTCTTGAATAAACTGGCTGGAAAACCATACTTCCAGAGAAGGTGATTTTTCAGTAACGCCTGGAGACAGGCAATTTGGGTAATGGAGGCCTTCTTCATCCTATGAGACTAGGTAGGATCTCTTCCACAGCATCCTGTCTTTGTGCCTGTCATGGGCTCTGGCCCTATGGAGAGGTGTCAGGCTTCCACATCACTAGCATGTACATATGTTGTGTTTTAATTGCCTTTTTTCCAACTGCCTCTATGGCTAGACAATAAAATCCTCAAGGACAAAGAATGTGTCTTACTTATAATTTCAGTGCTTGGCACTGAAATTCTAGGCACCCAGGAAATATATTTTAGTGTTTTGAACTATATAAAATAATGTTTACTGTTTTTAGTGACTTGGGTGAAGGTTGAATATTACATTCATGAAAGATAAGGTATGTGAGTGTTGTAAAGTGATCGTGACTTTGGAAATCAATAGTAATATACTAAATGATACAAAAGGAACATGGTATAAACTACATGGTGAGAAGGAATGACTACTCTGAAATCTTTCCATAAGGCAATAAACTTCAGAGACAAATCAGAACCATTGTAGCACAATGAGTCCATAGTGTTATGTGTGCATAGTGATTTCCACTTCTGCATGTTCTTACTGGGCTCTTGAGATAGTCCAAGGGGATGGGAAGATAATGACATTGCCATTTTGCAGAACAGAAAACTGAGACTTGGTGTGTTTATTGACTTGCTCCAGAGATTATACTATGACAGGGTCAGACACTAGAGCTGGGGTCACACCTGATCCTGGGCCATTTTAGCTACAAACCTACCTTTCAAGTTGGATAGCAAATTGTTATGATAATGGTGGTGACAACCTTGGGTTTATGTCATATTTTGTTGTGTGTTAGTCTTTACAGCAACCCTTTGAGTGAGTTAGTGCATGGATGACAGAACTAAAATGCTGTTGCTTTAGAATGCTGGTATCTTGGAATTGGAAAGGAACTTTGAACACCTTGAGTGCCAAGTGCTCTCATTAGACCTCTTGGTCCCTCTGGTGGCCACCATGATTGATGTGATTAATGTGTTTGTGGTGGGAGCCTGCCATCTCTTAGAGAAGCCCATTCCATTTAAAGTAGATAAGGTTGCTAAAGAAGCAAGTGGTATGGCAGAGATTAGAAATAACACACTGTTCAGAAATCAGTGAAGGGAGAGTTAATGCTTGCTTAGTGTGGGTGCAGAAAAGAGGCAGAAGCCTGGGCTCTGAGTTGGGATGGAGAAGGTGAAATGTGTAAGCTTTCATGAATTTGGGTGATGGTGAGGCCATTCAGGTTGTTGGTGGGGCTCCTGGGTCAGCCCTTCACCTCTGATGTTTTTGCCCAGATTGATCCATGAGTGGAACCCTGTGCACTCTACACCTGCTCCCCATAGGCAGCTGGACTCTGAGAGGGGAAACCAGATAGGGTCGCCAGTAGTCAGAACACTTTACCTCAGCCCTCTAAGGCTTTTACAAGGTTCATCTTTTCTGAAATGTGTTTGTGGCTTTTGTGGGTTATCATGCCATTTAAGGTTTTCTAAATATAATTGCAAACACATAGGCACATTGGACCAACTTACCTAACCCCAGTAGGATGATGTGTGTTGTGAAGGTGATTTCTTTACCACTCTGACAGACTGCAGTACAGCCAGCTATGGCTCAGGCACAGGCCAGTGGGTCTGGGGACTCTGGTCTAGGCCACCAGGATTCTATTTCTGTGCAATTTCTTTACTCCCAGGTCATTATACCCACAGTCTATTTGAGTGCCAAGTAGCCGTCTCATATATGGACACATGCAGCTTATGTAGTGAACTCCTAATTATTCTTCAGAACCTTTCTCCCATTTGTGTATTGACCCTGCAAGTTTTCATTGAGAGCATACCATCTGCTAGATGCTGGGGATGTGGCACTGAACGCAGCAAGACCCTGTCCTCATAGCCTAAGCCTGCATTCCCACATCCCTGAGTTGGTAATGTGATCTCTTTCCTCTGGAGTCCCTAGCCCAGTGACTTGCTTAGGTGAATGGGAACAATGCTTGCTTCTCTGATCCTTCCTTTTCTTTCTGGTGAATGAGCCAAGTCACGATTCTCTGAAAGTCATCCACTAGGAGTGTCAGGAAGGTAGAGTTGCTGTGGAGATTTCTCTGAGTACAGTAACTGTCAGAACTTGTCAGCCTTCCATAAATCAGGGATATGATGGAATGTCATAGGCCTTCAAGGTGTCATCCTCCCCTGACCACAGGGATTGTCTTGGTTCTGTTTTCTAGTGGGTGACAGAGAATGAGGACATGCAGGGTCAGAAGGACTGTGTGTAACCCAGGGAGAATTCTTCCTGACGGGAAGTGCAGTAGGTCTTCCCTACACCTACAGCCAGCAGGTGTTTCCTGGCCATTGTTCCTGGTGATCACAGCAACTCTGTTTCCATCCACCACAGAATGGGGCTGGGTGGGCTCTTTATGTGCTTCTTGCCCAGGCCAGGGATATGGCCAGCCTTTCTGGAGGTCAAGGTGGGGGCAGTTCTGCCTCTTACACATGGATGGGAAGCTGCGCTGTGGCCCTCCTGTCTTGCACCTCCTAAACTCCTGTCTTGGATCCTTTTTCTTTCTTGGTCCTCTTGCCCTTGGGAATTTACATTGGGGCAAGCTGTAATGAAGGTCCAGGGCGATATTTGAGTGTGGACACTCTTGGCTGAGAGATGCAGAACTTCTCCCTAAAAGTCATCCAGGAGAAATTCCATTCTTTCAAGCTTCAGGTGCTACTGGGCCAGGTGATACATGCCAGAATCCCAGCACTGCAGAGGCAGAGAGAGGCAAGAGGATGGCTCCAGGGCTTTGTACAGAGACTGTCTCAAAACACCTAATAATAACAACAATAATTGCAATAGTAATATACTAAAAGGAACTCTTAGATCACATCACAGGTCGGATGTGTTTTATTGATTGCACGTTGGTTGTTTTCTCATTTTGAGCCCAAAGACTTCCTATCTATTTCTGGTTGCTGGTTTACCACCTTGGTGCTGTCCCTGCAGTGGCTTCTCCAATTGCTTCTGCTGAGGTGTATTGTGGCTCTGTGTTGATTAAAGAGCTTGTTCTGTCCCTTCAGAGCATAAGGTCTATACAGAAGGAAGCAGGGATGTATAGTAAGATTAAGCTGGACACCAAGAATTGCTCCTTTTAGAAACACAAAGTTGTAATTGCAGCTTGCATGTCTGTTTATTTTGTCCTTACCCATTGGGCCTGCTGGTTTTAGATAAATGGGGAAGAGGCCGGTGGGCAGTGGTGATCATTTCATGGCTTATCCACCATTTCTGCCTCTTCTGCAAGAGGCAGTCACCAGGGTACAAGCTGCAGACATGCCACCATGCCATGTGGAGTCAGTGCTGTGTCAGTTCTTCCCTGGATACCTTGTTTCAGGTGGCTTGAACCATATGGCTGGGCTTTCCACATAGGCACTTTGCTAGGTCTGGTTTGGTTTAGATAAAGGGAACTGAGGTTCTTCAGGGAGGTCTGGCCACAAATGGAGTTCTCTGTTGCTCCCACAGTGATGGGTCCCACCACCACAATGGTTCCAGCTGGGGAGCTTTGATGACGCCAGCACATCATGTACAGCGTGGAAGATCTCCTGATTTCTCATGGATACAAACCCTCACGAGACCTCTCAAGACCACGCAAGGATAATCCCGAGGGGTGCCAGCAAACTGGGACAAGGCCCCAAGCGGGCCATGGTCTGCTGAACGGATATGAGGATGACCCTACAGCCTTTGCTCACAATTGTACATCCCTGGGGAAGGGACTTGTGAGTGACTCAGAGAGCAGCCGCAGCACGCCGAGAGGCCACGGGGAGCGCCAAAGTGCTTCTGCTTCTAAAACTGCTGAGGCGGGTAAGCTTCCGTGTTGACCCCCATTTCTCTTTGACTTAGGAGTTTGGTCTTGGCTTAGACGTAAGTAAACTCTTTCAACCCTATATTTGGCTTGGACCAGGGAGAGAGAGAGGGCTGAAAGACAAGAACACCTCTGTCCTTTGCCGTATTTAAGGTATTCCTGTAGCACATAGCTGGACTTGGCCATAGTAGGCCTTCACTAAACAGTAGTGAGTAAGCAGATACTATCACACTGAGCACTGCATTGTGATGCTCTGCCTCTCTTCTGCCCTCTAACGTGCCCAGCACTCCCATAGAAGGCATTTTAGAGCTTTGTAAAGCTCTCTTATGTCCAGCCACACATTCATAGTGCTGATGGGTTTTCTACTAACACATTTCAGTATCTTGTAGGTTTCAGAGAGTTAAAAAGGGCTATGTGCCCTGCCCCTTTTGACCATTCATATAATTCCATTCTTCTCTAACCTGCCTTGCCATTGCACACATGCTGACCTAGTGTGGATATAGCACCAAAACACAGCACACCTATGGATGTTTTCTTAGGACAGAAAAAGAGGGCAGGTTGGCCAAGTGGGCAGGGTGGTTATTGAAGAGGGAGTTGCAGCAGCTTGCCACAGGGCCAGCATGGGAGGGGAGCCATGAAACTCCCTTCCAAGAAGTTTCAGTGGAAGGAAACCTCAGTTGTCCGTGCATAAAATGTGTTTTTGTCTCTAATGTTGTGTCGGGACCAGGTAGAGTCTGGAGACTAAGAGTGCCGAGCACGTGATGTAGCAGGGTATAAGAAGCCAGAAAGAGATAACGGAACCTTCACAGGGAAGCAGGGTCTGTCTTTAAGAGGAACAAACAAACAGAAAGGGTGGGGAATTAAGGCTGATGGTCACAGGTCTCCTTCCCAGAGAAACATCTTCCTTCTTGGTTGACAGCTTTCAAACAAACTTGGGAGGGATTTTGTTAGGATGGTCAGAGCTTTCAAAACCTTGGCTGGGCAGAAGCAAAGGAAGGAGAATCTTTTCTTTCCCAGTGTGGTAAAAGCAGGTTGATGTTACCAAAGCAGAGTTTCCACTGATGGGACCAGGTTCAGGAGGGAAATGCAGAATATGAACGAGTAGAAGATGCTCTTTACTAACCTTGTCTTCAAAACTCACACTTCTGTCTACTATTTCTTGGGCTTAACTCTTATCACCCTGGTTCCCTGGAAAACATGTCCACCATGAATTTTTGGAAGAGGGCTCTTTTGGACAAGTTGACTGAGGGTAAAGACAACCTTAATTGCCACCAGACAAACTTGAGCTTGATTTCTTCTTAACTTCTGCTCTTTCTAGTTTGTGCTGAGTATATCTCTATAGTGTAACTTGGATGACAAGGTCCCAAGGTTGTATCTTGTCTCCTGTTTCTTTTGTATTGCTTATAGAGCTTATTACGATACTGTGCACACAGCAGTTACTTAATATGTGCTAATGGATTGTGATGTATTCTTCTTAGCATTGTGACAACTTTGAGACCATACAACTGCTAGATGTTGTAGTACATACCTAAAGTCCCAGCTTCTTGGGAGGCAGAAGGGTTAAAGTTCGAGGCCAGCCCAGCCAAAAATGCAACAAAACCCTGTCTCAAAAACAAAAGGGTTATAAGTATAGCTCAAGTAGTAGAATGCTTGCCTAGCATGCACAAGACCTTGGATTCAATCCCCACCATTGGGGTGGGGAGGAGAGGGAGAGAGAGAGAACAGAAGACCCAGTTCCTAATGAGGTAAAGTCAGTGGCCTGGAGTCTCTGCAAATGGGTTGTGTAGGTTATGTGGGGTTGTCCTCAGACTTGAAGGATCAGATCAGAGTGAGGTTTCAGAATGGGAGGCAGTAGAATTCCCTTTAGAATTCCATGTGGGCAATATGGCTCCCAATCTCACCCACAGCTTGCTCAGGACTTTTCTTTCTGTGTGGTAGCAGGTTCCTTAGAAGCATCAACCTCCTGCCTAGCCTGTAGGTGGGTGGGCACAGTCGGATATGCAAACAGTCATTCTTTCTGTCATGAATAAGATGTTCAGATGAGTGACTAAGTGTGGCACTGGGACATTTTCCTGCAAGTGGACTGAGTTCTCAATAGGCCCAGCCGACTCTCTGTGTTTCTGAAGTTTACTGACTAACTCTGGAGATGGATAGCAGCTTTTGGATTGCACGTTCCCTTATAGGGCAGAAAGAAAAAAATCACACATAAATGCAAAAATCCAGGCCAGTGCCCATAGCCTTGAGACTTGCGTCTTACACAGCTGCAAGTCTTCCTAGGTTGACATGAAAGGCATTTTCTTTATTTAGTAGCCAACACAGACTGAAAATAGGAGGCAAAGTTTATGGAAAAGTAGGTATGGAGGGGAAATATTTCCCTTAATCAAAAGTACTTTGGGAGGAAGTAAATAGGTGTCAAAAGTTAACAGCTTAAACAATGTTTAAAAAAAAATAAAAAGAAAGAAAGACAAACTAGCCACATGATGGCTAATGTGAATTCTGGATCTGGAATGAATGTGCTCTGCCAGCTCCCAGCCTTTGGTCACTTGACAAGCACAGCTGTGGTCTTGCTGCCCGTCCTGTCCTACACAGTGACCTCTGTTGGGCTGGTTTCCAGGTCTAGGGGGCACATGGGGCCCAGGATAGCCCTGTCCAACTCCAAGCCATCTGGGGACTGGGAAGAGTCATAGGCTTCTCTAATGCTGGCTCCCTGGTGGGTTGAGGTCTGACCTGGAGTGGGTCCCTACACCTAGGGCAGGTCCTCAGCATCCACTAGCACCCTAGCAAAGGTAGAGATTAAGGTGGTTTAGAAGGTTACAGAGAGAGATCTTGTTTAATTCTGGCAGTTTGTGGAGACACAGTTCTATTGTAATAGTGTTTTATAGCTGAAAAATGTAAGTCCCCAAGAATGTTAGTGGCTTATCCAGGGCCATTCAGATTGACATGAAAGGGAACCCAGCTTAGCTACAAACTCTGGGCTGCCTGATGCCAGTGATTGCTACCCGCAATACCAGGCCTGGCCATTCTTCCTGTATGAGGCCAAGTTCAGTTTGAAAGGGTCCTCAATTCTATGAGCTCCTCTTCAGCGGCCCCGTGATGGACTCTCTTATCACTTTCTTGTCCTCTACCCTCCCCTGGCAGGCATGGCTGTGTCCTTTCCTGTCTGGGGAGCTGTAGAAGGAATGCATGGTTCCATACCCACATTAGGTAATATATATGGTTTTGCTTGTCTGTGGCCCTTGTTAAGGACTGCTTAAAATGCAAGGTAGTGTTGTCCATGACTTAGGGCTTGACTGGAATGTCAGCCACGGGCTTTTTAACTTGATTGCCAAACGTGCTGCTTACCTGTTTCTTCACTTGCTGAGAATGCTATACTCTGAGCTTTGTTGCCAGTTCAAGTGATACTGACATCCAAGATGGAAGAAGAGTGATGGTTCTGATATGCAGAGAGGTAAAGAATGTGCCAAATTGCTAAACAGCTGTCATGCTCTCATGGTAAAGACAGGAACCAAAGGTCAATGCTCTTTTGTACACAGCCTATTCAAATTAATGAGTAGAGAAAACTCATTTTCCACAGCTACATGTTAATGTGTGGGACCCTCCTTCTTATGGCTGGAAAGTACAGAAGGTGGGCTCTAACCCCTAATGGTGTGACCCTCTCCTAGGGGCCTGCCCTGGCTTTGTTGCCCATACTGAGGACCCTGCTCTAGCATGCTCTACAGGCCACCTTCCTCAAACCCCACCAACCCACCTTTCCTGAGGCCCTTCCTGTTACCAGAGTTCTAGTCACATGGGGTCACCTTGTGCTCCCACTCCCTCTCCAATCTGCCTCCTACTGGAAACTTCACTTCATCTGTCCCACTTCTTTGGGTTCCTTCCATGGAAATCACTCATTCCCATTAATTCTTCCAGTACTTTCCCTGGGCCTCCAGGATTGTCAGCTTTCTGAAAACTGATAACATGTCTCTGACTTGGCTAATTCCTGTTGCAGTTTTTTCAATTAGTAACCAATTAGTTAAATAAATTTGCTGACTCAGTCCTGGTCCTCTGATGTCTAGGTGTTTGTATACCTGCCATGTATTTCAGAATGCCTGGCTTACCTGGGACCAGCGGTAGAAAAGTTGTTCCAGTGACCTTGTGAGGCTAGCTGGGAATGGTCCCATATGAGGGGAAAAGTATTGGCCTCTTGGCTGGGCAGGCAAGGTACAGGGTCAATGGCTTCACCTTACATATCAACACTACAGGACAAGCAGGGAACAAGGGAGGAGAAGGACACAGCCATTGGCCCAGAAGAACTTTTGGCAGAGTGTGTGGTTCTGAGCGGAAAAGTTTTCTTTCTTTGTGGATTCTCTGCATGCCAGAATTGGATCCACATGAATAAGAATGCAGGACTTGTTGTAAGGAGAGACCATCCTTGGGCAGGAAGTGCAACAAGAGAGCTGGACCACAGACATGGGAGTAACAAAGCTGGGTCCCCATCGGGTGTGGCAGTTGCTGTCTCTCTAGACAGTCTTAGGTGGGGGGATTCATTCACCTCAGACTCTCCTTGTCTGCTATCTGGATCTCTGTTCCTGTGCTTCTCCTCTGCTAGACAGTCCTCCCTTTACAATGGCTGCCTTCTAGAACCTTAGGCTTGGGTGACTTTTATTCTTTCTTGTCCCACTGCTACTACCACCTGTTCTGTCCATTTATAGTTTTGAAAAGAGTGGATGGGTTGGCAATGGGTGGGTGCTTCACCTTGGTGGAGGAGTGTGCTCTCCTACACTCATGGGAAGAAGGGAAGACCAGACGTGATGCTGGAGTCTTACCCACATTGAAGACTTTGGATGAGGAGAGTTTCCAGGCCATGGAACCAATAATGGAACAACTCTGACGATGTGGCCGTTCCTCTGTTTAAGTCACTTCCCTCATGGAGAGCTGATGTGGATGCTAACCTACCCCTGAGCACTCTGTCAACACAATGTGCCAATGAAAGTGCTAGCAGGTATTGCATGAAAGTCACTTACATGGTA